CCTTATGTATGTAAGCAATGTGGAGAAGCATTTAGTCATCCATCAACCCTCTATAAACATAAAAGAATTCACAGTGGAGAGAGGTCCTATGAATGTAAGGAATGTGGGAAAGCATTTAGTCAGCCCTCAAAACTCTCTGTACATAGAAAAATTCATAGTGGAAAGAGGCACTATGAATGTAAGGAATGTGGGAAAGCATTTAGTCAGTCCTCAAAACTCTCTATACATAAAAGAATTCACAGTGGAGAGAAGCCTTATGAATGTAAGGAATGTGGGAAAGTATTTCGTTATACCTCAAGCCTAAGTAAACATAGAAAAACTCACAAAAGTGAGAGGCCTTATGAATGTAAGAAATGTGGCAAAACCTTTAAACGTTCCTCATGTCTTACTGTGCATGTAACAACACATACTGGAGAAAGGCCCTATGAATGTAAGGAATGTTGGAAATCCTTTAGTCAGGCCTATTCCCTCTCATTACACATAAGAAGAACACATAGTTCAGAAAAGCCTTATAAATGTAAGGAATGTGGAAAAGCCTTTACTCTTGCTGCAGTACTCACTGCACATAAAAGAATTCATGGTGCAGACAGACTTTATGAATGCAAGGAATGTGGGAAAGCCTTTACACATGCCTCATACCTCACTGTACATATGCGAATGCATAGTGGAGAGAGGCCTTTTGAATGTAAGGAATGTGGGAAAGCCTTTAGTTGTTCCTCATCCCTTACTGTACATATGCGAACTCACAGTGGAGAAAGGCCTTATGTATGTAAGGAATGTGGGAAAGCTTTTACACAGGCCTCACACCTCACTTCACATTTGGGAACTCACAGTGTAGAGAAGCCTTATGAATGTAAGGAATGTGGGAAAGCCTTTACAAAGGCCTCAAACCTCACTGTACATAAGCGAACTCACAGTGGAGACAGGCCTTATGAATGTAAGGAATGTAAGAAAACCTTTAGTCGGCGCTCAGCCCTCAGTACACATAAACGAACTCACAGTGGAGAGAAGCCTTATGAATGTAAGGAATGTGGGAAAGCCTTTACAAAGGCCTCATACCTCACTATACATAAGCGAACTCATAGTGGAGAGAAGCTTTATGAATGTAAGAGTTGTGGGAAGGCCTTTACCCAGGCTTCACACCTCACTACACATATGCGAACTCACAGTGGAGAGAAGCCTTATGAATGTCAGGAATGTTGGAAAGGCTTTACAAAGGCCTCGTACCTCACCACACATATGGGAATTCACAATGGAGAGAGGCCTTATGCACATAAAGATTGTGGGAAATCCTTGAAGGGTTCATCACAGCTCACTGGACATATGAATACTCACAGTGGGCACAGGCATTATTATTGTTAGTGAGAAAGCATTCAGTTCTTCCTCACCCTCACTACATAGAGCTCCCAGTAGATGCAGGTTATAGGTAGGTAGGGATGTGGGAAAGCCCGGAGTAGTTCCTCACGCTTTATACATAAGAACTCATATTGGAGAGACTACTCTGTGTCAAAAGTGGGCAGTTTCCTCCTGACGGTTAAAATTTCAAACAGCAAATTTCTGAAAATCTCCACTTAAAGAACAAACATCTAAGTGAATAAGAAGGCAATATTAACTCATTAATACTACTTTGTGCTTTTGCAAGAAATGACTGGTTTACTTTAACTGTTGTACTGTCCTCATCAGTGTTTGTTATTTACTGAATCCAAGTGAAATTTTGCCTTTCTTATAGGTCTTTGGCTAGCTCGAATCAGGCTGTGTAAATTGTTGTTGTTGTTGTTAGGTGCTTTCAAGTCACCTCCAACTCACAGCAACCCTATATACACAGAACAATACCCTTCCTGGTCTTGCACCAGCTTCACAAGCTTTCCTATACTTGAGTCTTTCATTTGAGTTTTACTTTGTCTCATTTTTTAAATTGAACATGTCTTTACATACTTTCCTATTGTAAAATTGACTATTTGACACTTTATGATTGGTTTCTCATAGAGCGATATTTTGAGATTGTGTAATTATTCTCTTTGTACTTCAGTTTACTGATTTCTCCACCCATTACTAATTATTACCTACGATTATTAGTACTTTGGTCTTCATCTAGGCCCTCTGGTGCTGTAGTACTCAAAGCATTTGGCTGCTAACCGGAAGGTCGGTAGTTAGAACCCACCAACAGCTTCTCAGATTCAAGATGAGGCAGTCTGCTTTAGTTAAAATCAACAGCCTTGGAAACCCAGTGGGGGTTGCAATGAGTTGGAATCAATTTAATGGCAGTGAGTTTGGGTTTTTTGGTCTCTAGTGGCCTTTACCAAATGATATTTTCTATTGCAATAATTTTTTCTAAGTCATTGGAATTCGACAAGAAATAGATTTCCCTTCTCTCCTCTTTATTTACTTATTCAGTTCTTGATAACAAATGAGTTCTAAGTCTGCCTTTAAGACGATCTTGTACACTAATTTGTTCATAAATTGAAATGGTGTATATGTAATATCAGTGAAACATGTGTCTTAGTATATAGTGTGTAGTGCGCCTTTCTATGAATAAAAGCCAATAAAAAAAAAAAAAAATTTCCAAGTTGATTATAGTATTCGGAGGTAGTGTACATGACACTTACATTGTTTTGATGCTCCTCACAAACTAGTATCCATTTGTCATTGTGAACCTGAACAAGTTCATTAGAATCTCTGTTAGTACATCTCTCCTCATCCCTAACTTGAAGAGGCCTGGAGACGCACCACATAGGCCTTGCCCATGCAAACCGACCATAGGGGATTGAGCAGTTGTGTAAGAAAGGGAATTTCAGAAAATGAAACCCACCCTGCCCAGTTCATGTGTAACATCCTGGGGGTGCTGGCCTGTGCCTGTCTCCACCAATGAGAATGAATGGTATGTAGAGGGTGTGTTACCAGTGTGTAAGGATGTGGGGCCTGAATTCCTGCAGGAGGTGGCCTCAATGTGAGACGAGCTTAGTGGGAGTTGTTTTGTAACTACAGGTTTTAGGTAAATTGGACATTTGTTAACCAGGCTCTGTCCGTATAGTCTAATCCACATTACATCTTTCTTTTCTTTTCTTTTCTTGCACACACTGTTCCATATTTGGCTGCTACGAGCTCCTTAACATAAGTTCCTCTTGTCCTTTTCCTTTCTGAGTTCTGTAATAGAGTTCTTTCCATGAAACTCTGGTTCCTTTCATAGAGAATGATATTTATGAACAAAGATAGGGGCATTAGGTATGCTTATTGCTCCTGGGAGCCCTGGTGGCCTAGTGGTTAAGTGTTGAGCTGTTCAACAAAAGATCAGCAGTTCAAACCCAGCAGATGTTCTTCCATGTCTCAGTTGGCAGTCACGGGGCAGAAGGGTTTTTTCCAGTGATGGGCTGTCCTGTGGGTGCTCATTGATCCTGGTCCTATTCCTGTCACTCACCCACCACTGCCCACACCTGCACTTTGAGCCTGTCCTGTATGCCCCCCCCACTCTGCACACTGCATCCTTCTAGCCGTCTCCCAGTGGGTTCTCCAGGCCACTCCCTTCCACTGTCTTCTTGCTATGTTTTCCTAGGGTTCCCGAGAAGCAGGCCTGGGCTGCTCTCCTGCCTTGCCCTCACATCTCTTTTTCCGTGTACACTCGTTGTGCACCTTGTCACGCCCTCCAGGCCTGTGTCAGTATGGGCCTTCTGTTTGGCTCTAGCGCTGGGCTATTTGAAAATTCTGAAGAAAGATGCTACCACTCGGAACCATCTCCAGATGGGCCAGTTGACCTGAGTGGTGAGTTGTGTGCCTGGTCTGTGAGTCCCTCTTCCCTGCAGTCCTGCTTCCACTCTCCCCACAGTTGGGGCTCGGCCTGTCTCTCCAGTCCTTCCCTTGCTGTCCAGATGTACAAGATCCCTGGTCTCCAAACTTGGTGCTTGTCTTCTTTTTCATTGTTGTGGAGAATCATGATGGTGCTCCTGTCTGTGCTGCCATCTTGCCCCTCGTCCTGACTTGTGGTTATCACCTTGCCGGAAGATTCCAAAATAAATGAAAGGGGGAGGGGCAGAAAGGCTCATTTGCAACCAAGTGTTTTCACGTTCAACTACACACACAGGGAATTCCTTCCTAATGAGAAAGTCTACATGGGAAATAGGATCCTTTCCAGAGCAGGGTTCAGCAAACATTGTAAATATTTTAGGCTTTGCAGGGCTCTGGTAGCAAGTGCCTAAGGCACTTGGCTTCTGGTTAGAAGGCAGTTCAAACCCACCAGCCGCTCCTCGGAAGGTTGGGCAATCTATTTCCATAGTGATACTGCCTCGGAAACCCAAGGCGGGATCGCTAGAAGTTGGGTCTGACTTGACGGCACATAACAACACCACCATATTGGGAGCTCTGGTAGCATAGTGGCTAAGGCACTTGACTGCTAACCAGAAGGCTAATGGTTCAAACCCACCAGCCACTCCTCGGAAGGAAGATGGGGCAATCTACTTCCGTAGTGATACTGCCTTGGAAACCCAAGGAGGGGTCGCTATGAGTCGGGTCCAACTCGATGGCACCTGACAACAACAACAACATTGGAAGTAGGATCCTTTCCAGACAGGGACTCAGAGCAGGGCTTAGCAAACACTGTAAATGTTTTAGGCTTTGCAGGCTAGATATGCAAAATTTAACTCTGCCATTGTAGCTTGAAAGCAGCTATAGACAATAGTCCATGAATGTTTGTGTCCGTTTTCCAAGGATAAGATGTTTGCAGAAGCAGCTGTGGGGCACATGGTGCCTTGGGCTGTGGTGTGTGTTGACCCCTGACTTAACAGATTCAGATACAAGGAGCAGATCACACAGGACACTGCAAAGTGAACAGAAGGACCCTGTACAGCTTCCCTTCTGTGAGTGCACCTGAAATGATAAAAGGTATAGGACAGTTAGTGCACTCAGGCTCTGCCCAGTGTGCCTGCCAAGTACTCTGGTGACTAGCAGAGCCTCCATCATCCTGACCTTCTTCTACACCCATCATCCCAATTTAAAAAAAGAAATTCTTTTGAATTAACTCAGACCCATGGTAGTCACTGAGTTTCTTCTCTTTATGGTGATGGAGAATTCACAAGAGATACTGATTATATTTGCACATTATGACTAATAAAACCAAAAACCAAATCCACTGCCATCCTGTGGATTCTGACTCACAGTGTTCTCTAAAGGACAGAGTAGAAGTAGCCCAGAGAGTTTCCCAGGCTGTCAATCTCGATGGAAGTAAAGCCAGACCAAACTCAATGACATGGAGTCGATTTTTACTCATAGCAGCCCCAAGAACTGAGTAGAACTGCCTCAGAGAGTTTACAAGGTGTCAGCTTACCGAAGCTGACTGCCTCCTCTTTCTCCCTTCATAGTAGCTTGGGGGTTCAAAGCACTCACCTTTTGGTTAGCAGCCAAATGCTTTAAGGTGCCAGCAAAACTCTGATCAATGTAACAGATCTTAATTGTCTATGCAAAAAACATTATACTGGGAAATGTTGTGTGATATATATCTATTTACGAGAAAAAAACTAAACTTCTGTTGTATGGGAGAACTGAATCGTGAACTTCAATATTGTTGTTGTTATTATTCCTTGTATCAAACCCACCAGTCACTCCTCGGAAGGAAGGTTGGGCAGTCTACTTTCGTAGTGATACTGCCTCGGAAACCCAAGGAGGGGTTGCTATGAGTCGGGTCCGACTTGACGGCACATAATAACAACAACTGTCTTTTATATTTTGAAAAGAAAATGCATACCATGATTTTAAAATATATATATATATATATATATACACACATTTTGTAAAATGTCTAGTAATGTCCATTCAGGCCCCATCTAACCGAATGTATGTATTTCCTGAGGTTGTTTTTTTTTTTTTTTTTCTTTTCTTAAACTAATTTAACACAGAAGGAAAAAAACGCTGCATCATCATTCTGAAACCCGGGGGTTGAAGCAGGACCTATAAGCATAGGGTTCAGTGCAGACTCTCTAATTTAACGTCTGCATGGCTGCCCCCCCAGCAGACGAAACACCTTCAAACCTTGGGAACCCAGAGTGTGCAACTTGTAGAGTTTGCTGGGTACTGGCCTCCAGGGCAAGGCCCTTCTCTGAACTTTCCTCCAGTGCCAGAAATAATACCAAAGCACCTTATCATCTTGGTTAAGTTCTCCTGGTAATAAGGCCACCCAAACATGAAGTTCTCAGCCTGACATTTGGGCTCCACCAGACTCAAAAGGAGCATGACCTGTGACAGCATGTGAGGGATATTTTCTCCACCCAGGACCGTAAATCATTGCCATCAGACATGCCATGAGGTGACCTGTAAAAGAAGAAACCTACTGCCACCAAGTTGATTCCAACTCATAGCGACTATTTACTACAGAGTGGCACTGCCCTATAGGTTTTCCATGGCCATATGTCTTTGTAGAAACCAACCAGCTCATCTTTGTACTGCAAAGCAAACTATTGGGTTTGAAGCACTGACCTTTTGGTTAACAGCCAAATCCTTAATGACTATACCGTCAGAACTCCATGATGTGAACTATAAACAAGTGTTTATGTTTCCCCATACTATCACCAACATGGTGCCAGCCTCACAATACACTTTGGTATGGGTGATGATGGGCTAGACTGGACCCATCATTGCAGCCACTGTATCGGTTCATCTTGTTGAGTGGCGTCCCCTTTGTCACTGACCCTCCACTTTACCAAGCATGATATGCTTCTCCAGGGAATGGTCCCATGTGACAACACGACCAAAGTAGGTGAGACAAAGTCTAGCCATTCTTGCTTCCTAGGAGCATTCTGGCTGCACTTCCTCCAGGACCGGTTTGTTCATTCTTCTGGCAGTCCATGGTATTTTCAGTATTCTTCAGCAACACCACAACTCAAAAGCATCAACTCTTTGGTCTTCCTTATTCATTGTCAAGCTTTCACATGAATATGAGGGAACTCATAATACCATGGCTTGTGTCAGGTACACCTTAGTCTTCAAGGAGATATCTTCGCTCTTCGGAACTTTAAAGAGGTCTTTTGCAGCAGATTTTCTCAATGCAGTACATCGTCTCATTTTTGCACTGTTGCTTCCATTGGTGTTGATTGTGGACACAAGTAATAATCTTTGACAACTTCCATGTCTTCTCCATTTATCGTGATGTCGCTTAGGCCTACCATTCTGACCCAGCAACAGTGCTCCTAAGTATTTCACCCATGTGGGTGAAAATATATGTTCATATAAAAAGCTGCACAGAAGTGTTTATGGCAGTTGTTTTCATAATTACTAAAAATTGGGAGGAGAGGCCCCAGAAGTACATATGTTGGCATCGTAACTTGTCTCTCATGCAGAGCATCTGAGCCAACTCCCAGTAAAAGATTAGCTGGTGAGTTCGAACCTGGGAGCTTTGGGTTATCAGCCGAATTCCTTAATGACAGAGCCACCAGAGCTCTTTTTTAAGAGTCTATCCAGATCTTAATTGTTTTATACACTTAATATGAGAACATGTTATGCACTTTTATATGTGCATATATGTGTGAGGAAAAAGTAGAGTGTCAATATGGGCCATTTTCAAAATTTCACCATCTACATACCAGTTGTCAAAATGATTAGTGTTTTCCTGTCTCTCATTCTGGACAAGTCCTCTCTCTGGAGGCAGTGCATTTGGAAAGATCACACTGGGTTTGGAGTCTGTGCCCAGGTCATAAGGAAAGATTCCTGATATGTGTTAGGCAAAAACAAGGCTGGCCAGGTGGGTGAATGATTAAGCCAGAAGGAATTATTAGAACTGGTCAAGCAAGGAAACGCCTGACCAGAGCCCATACCAAACCCCAGCATGTAACCCTTGCTTATGAAAGACCCCAGCACCTGACTCTTACTCACGAAAGCCCCCAATGATTGCCTGCCCATTATATTAATAAAGTACTTCAACTCTGCTCCCTCCCTCCATGCTAATAGGGTGCTTTAACCTTATTGGTTCCTGTAACACATACCCTGCTCTCAATCCGGTCCACTGAGGAACAGGAAGAAAATCACTATTAAAAAACCCTTTCTTTCACCTGGGCAGTGCAACATTTCTTGCCCCTCTCAGGGACCTTGAACCTTGCTCCGCAGCGTGGAATAAAGCTTTCCTTGCTCTACCTTCTGTGTCCCTTCTCTTCCTTATCTTGACCTTACAATATGAAGAGAACAATCCATGAAAGGAAATTTCAACAATTGTAAACTCTGGAAATTATCATGAGCAGTATAGAAATGATTAAAGAACATTGTAAAATAATTTCAAGCCACCAAATACTTAAATATAAGTTTTTTTGGGAGGTCTGGTGGTGTAGTGCCTAAGGCATTTGACTGCTACGCAGAAGGCTAATGGTTCAAATCTACCAGCCACTCTTAGGAAGGAAGGTTGGGTAATCTAGTTCCAGAGAGAGACCACCTGGGAATCCCAAGGAGTGGTCGCTATGAGATGGAGAGGATGGCACATAACAAGTTTTTCGGTTCCTCCAGGGTGTTGGGACAAAGCAAACCCAATCCCCAATATGTCAGTTGGCAGCTTCCTCCGGGTGTCAGGCCCTGATGAGACAGCCTGATAAGACAACCAAAGTGACAGAACCCGCCCAGGCTGGAAAGTCCCATGCAATGACAAACTTCCTCCTGTGAAGCCCCCTCATGCTAATTAAGTGCAAACCCATGCTAACAGCTAATTGGACCCTGCCATTTCCTTAGTGTCCCCAGTTAAGTCCTCTCTGTCTCTATAAGAATTTATCCCCCTGTCCCCGGGGTGCGACTTCTCTGGCCTTGATGCTAGGGCACTAACCTCCCCGGGGAGTGCTAATAAACCGCTTCTCTGAAACAACTCCGTGTCCCGGTGTCTGGGCAGCTCTGCATTGCGCAGGGCATCTATGATTACAGAAACCCGTGTTTCAGTTCACAACCGGATTAAAGTAACTCTAGGCTTTTTTCCTCAAGCGGAAAGAAAGGCAGCCATGAGTTGATCCACACACAACACGGAGCTACGGAATCTCACGGTCACCAGTTAGAGCCGTTTGGGTTCCCCCACGGAGCTATCCTTTTGAGCATCCAGCTCCTAGAAACCGGAAGTGGAATCGTGCCTCTTTGGATTGGCCGGCAGCCTGGTTGTTCCCGCTTCAGCTCCAGTAACAGGCTGCTTTCTCCTCAGACGCCCGGCGTCCTGCTCGCTGCCGTTCTCCCGCTGGCTCCGCCCCGGGTGGAGGCACTTCCCCTACTCTCCCGCGCACTCTCGGTCTCTCGTAGCCTCGGGCCCTCCTGTCGCCTCAGCCCCACCGCCGCCTCAGCTTCCCCAGCGATCCTGCCCCGGAGGCCGCAGCCGCTTCCTAGTGGCGGAGCAGTAGGGGCGGACCTGCGTCCCTCCGGGCGGGAACACATAACATGGCGGGGCCCACTCGGGTGTCGGTGGACCGGGGTCTAGCAAGGGCCCATGTGTGAACTCAGGGTCCGGTCTGTTCTTCCCTCAGGGGGCGAATTCTCGACCATAATTTCCTGCCTGAAACCGCTCCTCTTTGTTTCCCGTGAGTCATCAGGGACGACTTGCGGTGAGTGTTGCTGGTCATTCACAAATGGAGATTATAGTGAGGAATTCCTCGCCCCTCCTTTAATGATTATAGATATTTAGGAAAGATGACGAATTAAGAGACTTGAGCTGGAACTACTGCGTACTTTTAGGCTCTAGTTTATTCCAATTTGAGGGAGAAAACACTTGCTAGCAGTCCTGTTTCGAGGCGTGTATGGCTGGAGGGCAGACATTTTCATCAAGATTGTGGGAGGAACCGTTCGGTCAGTCCGAGTTGGTCTTCCATGAAATGGGAAGCTGCTGAACGATGTTACTCCAGGCGAGAAGGGGTGTGTGGAGCGCACTCCCCCAGTGTGTGTGTCTGTGCTCCAGTGACCGCTGAGGATTGCACCACAGCCTGTGCCACCAAAGAAGCACAGTTCTGAAAAGGTGGAAGGCTTCCTGGAGCACAAACCGTCCATATTACCGTTGTCAGAGCAGCGAATAAGAGTAGTGAGGGCAAAATGGGAGGTCTGTGTAATGAAACTAGTCAGAATATTTAAGTGAAGATTCAGGAAATTTTAGTTACTTGTATGGTAGCGTAGTGCCCAAGGCACTCGACTGCTAACCAGAAGGCTGGCGGTTCAAACCCACCAGCCACTCCTCGGAAGGAAGGTTGGGCAATCTACTTCCTTAGTGATATTGCCTCCGAAAGCCAAGGAGGGGTAGCTGTGAATTGGGGTGACTCGAGGGCGCATAACAACAACAACAACGTAGTGTGATAGCAGGTGGTATGGGTGGGGGTGATAAGAGAATATCATTTGGAAAACTCTGTAAATCCTCCAGGCAGCAGAGAAACCAGCATCCTCTATCCCTTGATGAAAGTCAGAGATGACTGAAGCAGAGGAAACCAAGTGTGGTTGGAGGGTCTTTGTGAGGCAGCTTGCAGGAGTCAGTGACAGCAGATGACTTAGAACCATGCTGACCACTCTGGGCTTGGTGAGATCAGTGCAGAGCCACTGACCACCATTAAGCACTTCTTGTCCTGGAAAGCTCTGGTGGTATAGTGTCTAAGGCATTTGATTGCTAACAAGAACGCTGGCTGTTCAAACCCACCAGCCAGTCTTTGGAAGGAAGGTTGGGCAATCTACTTCCCTTGTGTTACCACCTCAGAAACCCAAAAAGGGGTCACTGTGAGTTGGATCCAACTCCACGGTAATGAGTGAGAGATTGAGGGCTGGAAAGAGAATTTGGAAATGACAAGCATGATTGAATGACATCAGACAAGACCTTGTGATGAGTTAAAGCAGACAGTGAGGAACCCTGGACTAGGATTCAGCTTGCAAGGAGGCAGTGTGGAAAGGAATGGGAATGTTGTTGTTGTTGTTAAGTGCCGTCGAGTCGTTTCCGACCCATAGCGACCCCATGCACAGCAGAACGAAACACTGCCCGATCCCGCGCCAGCCCCACAATCCCTGCTATACTTGAGCCCATCATCGCAGCCACCGTAT